CCCAGACCCCATCCCAGAGCCACATCCATGCCCAGACCCCATCCCAGAGCCACATTCATGCCCAGACCCCATCCCAGAGCCACATTCATGCCCAGACCCCATCCCAGAGCCATATCCATGCCCAGACCCTGGCTCCTGCTGCAAGGAATGCCAGGATTTATAAAGACAGCAGAATTACAGCTCATTCTGTGTGCAAGGAACAATTCCTACTGTCTTCCCGCTGCTTTTGCAGAAGGGAGGAGAGGCTCAGGGCAGGAATTTACACTCACAACAAAGCCATGGATGCTCCCACGCCTTTGGCAAAGCACATCTTCCCTGGTTAAGCTGGGATTAGAGGGCAAACCTATTTCTGTGACATTTCTGTGAGTGCCCAGCAGAGCTGTCTGCTCCACCCACCCTCACCTCTGCTCCTGCACCCCGAGGGRCAGCAAAGGAAGGCTCTGGGAAGGAGCTGCTCAAAGGAACTTTCCAAGCATCAAACCATTACAATCATTTATTGTATTTTAGAAAGAGMAGCTTCAGCAAGGGCTGAGGACCAGGACTGAACCTCTCCCCACTACAGAAATCTGCATTTCAAGCAGGAATCACGGTGCAGAGCCAATGTCACCCCACAGACATGGGGCAGTTCTCCAGGGCTCAGCTTTGCCCAGCACAGCCAAACAATCCCATACTCAAACCTCCTGCCAGGGACTGAGCTTTTCACACCCATACATGTTGTGCTGTCTTCTTTCTTTGCTCTGTCTCTCACTTTGTATTTTCAGGCTCATTTTCCAAGCACACCAGTTCTACCCTTTCCCCCTGTCCAATGCTCCACCCCACAGACAATTTTAGCAGGACATAAAACCATTCCCTATCCAACTCAGAAAGCTGCAGCCTTTCCCTTCTGCATCTTATCTTGCCCAACAGCCTTCCTGCAAAGCCTCTCTTCATTCTCACATGGACTCAAGTGCCTGATCTAAAGCCCCACTGATGAGACACTCAAAAAACCAGATTTAAGTTGTAAAAGCCAAATAGCTCCTTGTTAAAAAAAAAATAAATAAATAAACAAAACAAACAAACAAAAAAAAGGCTTTGTGCAGCCATTGTCTCTGTTCTCATTCCAAAACTAAGGACAGAAGTTTTGGAGATGACACAGATTGCAAGAGATGAGCAGATTCAGCTTTTGCAGRGGTTGCTGTGGTGGGATCCCCTATCCCATAACAGACTTGCTTTGGGCAACCAACCTAACTTGTTTTATCCTTTATCTTATTCCAATGGCACTGCAGGGACGATGCACTGAGCCCCAATTTACAGATGGAGCTCCAAAGCACAGAGGAACCATGGACCAGATCCAAACACGTAGGCACCCACCTCACACGATGCTGAAACTTTAAAAGGCAGCACAGCACAGAGACAGCGCGTTAATAAAAGGTCACAAACACCCCAGATGGAGACATTCAAAGCCCTGGATCATCTTTTTGCTTTTAGGTCACACTTGTCCTTTGCAAKAAGTGCTGCAGCCCTAACTCACTTCAAAGATAAACTTCAGCTTCAGGATGAAACGGCCAAGCCCGAAATCTCGCCTTTGCACACGCCCAAACACAAAGGCCAAGCAGAAATACTCCCCTGGCACCTCACCACGTTCCAACAGACACAGGAGGAACCACAAGGATCCTTGGCACCCTCCCAACAGCTTTTCCCCACACTCTGTTGCTTCATTTCGTTTCATTTTCTCACAAGACCAAGCATTTAAAAAAAAAAAAAAAATTCCTTTTTCTGGCTCATTCAAACACATCTCTCCCTTTCTGAAGACCCAACCAAGAGGTGACACAAACATTTTCAAGCCAGGCTACTCATCCCCCTCCTCCCAGGGGATCCCTCTGCCCCTCCGACTCACCATGACTGAGATGTGCAGGATGTGCATCTGCTCCTCCACGATCTCCGAGGGCTCCTGCAGGCTGGGAGGGGTGGCCCTGGAGAGCTGCTCAGCRCTGCTCATGGACACGTGGAAGTACAGGGTGCCATTCTCCAGCCACTGCTGCTTCCAGTGCACCAGCGAAATGTCCGACACCGTCCCCGACATCTCTGCAGGGAACAATGCACAGCCCAGGGTCAGTTTGCTCCGTGGTGCTAAAGGTGCTGYTCTGAGTGATCCAGGAAATTAGATAACAGGGTAAAACTAAAAATTTTCAATTTCAGCCTCGCCCTGCTGCTTCCCTTGTGAACAACAAGGCTTGTTGTCTGCCTTAATAAAAAGTGAGGGGGTGCAGAGTGCCTTGGGATTTTGAGAGCAGGAATGCAACAACAGTAAATCACACATTACACCTTGAATCTCCTGTGMCTCTCCCAGGAACCAGGCTGGAGGGAGCTCCAGGGAGCTGCAGCCAAGCCCGAGGGAGTTGTGTGGCTCAGCACAGAGAGGACAATCAGTGCCAAGCCAGCCAGGATGCAGACACCAGCACACMCTGTGCTGGCACCTACAGCAGAAACCTTCTTCCAGCAGCACAGCTGTGTTTAACAGAGCACCTCTCAGCACAGACTGGGAGCTCCAGCACCAAGAGATGACCACCAGGCTTGAAAAGCATCTGTCAGTCACCTGCTGCTGGTTTGACATCCCACCCAACTCTGATTTACAGCACAGGCACCCTGGAATCCACAATTACAGCATCCCAGCACGCACATCCACACCAGCAGCCTTCTCTGCCTAAGGACCACACTGAACTGGGGGCTTGGAGAACCCAAAGGGCATCCCCAGAGCTGCAGAACCAGGGAAGGCAGCAGCTCCCAGCCTCAGCTGCAGCTCCTGAGCAGGCCAGGAGCACTGAGAGCTCCACAGCTGCCCAGCACGCTGCACACAGATTCTGCAGAGAACAGCTTTGGCAGCTGAATCAAAACAAAAAAAAAAAAAATAAATTAAAACATACTAGTACGAAATGAGCCAAAATATTTCTCCTTCCACCACATCTTTTTTTTGTGTTTGTTTTTCCATTTGCAATATAAGCAATGGGAAGCATTGTCACTGCTTAGTCACTGAGCCCACAGCTTCAGYAGTCACCTGCTTTGAGGGAGACCCAAATTCAATTCCCTCCTGTTTGGAGGTCCAACAGCCCCTGACCCCCTGCCTGCAGGTGTGACTGTCCCAGAACAGCCCAGAGCACAAGCTCAGGCACTCCTGGCACTGCAGTGGGAACAGGRATAAGGTTCTCCTGCTCCTTCTCSTCCTTCTCCACACCTTGGCTGCAGAGGGTCAGTGGCGAGGACAATGCTTGTTCCCCTGCAGCCAAGCAGCCAGGAAATGCTGCATTTGTACAAAATGGCATTTTGTATTTCATTATCCTGAGCCCAGCTGGGCAAAAGCACATCCAGTTCCAGCTCCCAGTGGAGAGGAAGGAAGGAACGAGCCCAGCTTGGTCTGAGGCAGTTCTGAGGAGCCACCCACACCTTGCAGGACAGGATGCTTTAAGGAGACACCTGGGTGGCAGCAGCCACTCTGGMTACAAGACCAGGCACTTCACAAACCCATGTCCCAGCCCAACAAAAAAACCTCTCAATCCTTCAGGAACTGGGTTTTTTCACCCCTGAAAGCAGTAAGTTCCTGGTTTCTCATCATGGATGAAAACAGAGCCAACCCACAGAGCTTCTCTGCTCATGGAGCAGCCCCCATCACAATCCTGCAGGGCTGAGGGCAGGGACAAGGTCACCCTATTACTGCCAGATCCCTGACTCAGCACTGGTGACACTCCTGAGCCACCCCAGTGTCACCTCAGTGTCACCAGAGGGGTTTGCTCATTGCCTCTGCCCTCCCAGCACAGCACCTTCCTCATCCCCAACCCCTGTGCCGACCTGAGCATTCAGCAAAGAAAAACCAAACCTCCCCTGAGCACASAGGGATCCATCAAGAGCCCACACTTGTGCTTGGGAGGGGATGCACGAGCTCCCTGTCACATCTCTGTCACTGCTGTGACATCCTGCTAAGGACCCTTCCCTCCTGTGACACAAAAAGCTGCTTGCTGGAGTAAATCAGCAGCAAAAAAAAGCTGTTTGCTGGAGTAAATCAGCAGCAAGAGGTGTTGCTTGCACTCTGGAACTTGTGAATCAGGGGCAGCCCTGCAGCTCCTTCAAGACCTGGAAACCTCATGGAATGAATCCTGTGTCTCTCCCCTCCAAACAAGGCTAAAGCAGAAGGCTTCTTACAGCAGCAAAAATGAGAACAAAATGAGAGGAATATCAAGGCTGCTTAATTGCAGTCGTCTTCCCAGCAATACTTCAAAGGTCTGTACCGAAAAGCATCTCCTTGTCTAATTAAAATCAAAACAAATGCTACTTTYAGGAGCAAAAGCACTCACTCAGCTTTGCAGCAGAAAGCCAAGATCATCCACAGAGGCAAACAGGCCATGGGAGAGCGGAGGAGCATCAAGGGGGAGCCTCTGCTATGCAAAGCCATAATCCTAATTCTGTCCAGAGGGACAGTCACCCACGGGAGGGGATGATTTGCAGCATTACTCACTCATCACACACATATCCTGCAGCAGACCTTTCCTAAAGAGCTCAGCAAGGAGGTTTTATCACCCAGCCCACAGCACAGACCCATGTGGGTGACACCAGGACCCCACTGCTGCAGTTCTAAGGGCTACATCACATTAGGGAAGCAGGAAAAAAAAACTACAGGGTCAACCCTTCCCCATTTTTTTCCCTTACACACACATTTTTTGCATGGGATGTTTAAAAGGATCACGGAGAACATTTCTCAGGAGTTCTGAAATATAGGCAATTTTTTGGATTTTAGCCTAGACTGAAGATAAGCCTGTTTCATTTTCAAAAGGTCTCTTCCAAAAGTAGAAACTTCAATTTAACATTCATTTCACAATTTTTGAGCTAACCCAGCAGCCAGGCAGTTTGTGACAAACAGGGGCTTGCCAAGCCTGGGTACCCATTCCCACACACTTCACAAACACTCGCGTGCGTGAGCTTTCATTTTCAGGGCACCTGGTCACTACCCCAGCCTTCAATCAGATTCACAACTCACCATAAAAATAWTTTTTWAAAGTTTTTTCAAGCCCTGKAGCTGCTGAATCCCTCAATACCCAAACACAGGRAAGTTTCTTGGCCTCCTGTACCTGACACAAATATTTCGCTGCCTGTGTTTCATGGACACACGTCTTGTCTGCTGTAGTTACAGCAGTGATAGCCCGTCCATCAGACAGAATGTAATAGTCTGCAGCAAGATTGCCTCTTATCAGAGCTTTCAAATGCTTTTTGGAACAAATTAAGGGCATTCCTGCACCAAAACCGAATGAGATACRCTTCGGGTTTTAAATGGACAGCGATGGAAAAGCACTTGTGGTCTATAGCTGTTTAAAATCTTAGTTTCTAGCAGATGGGGAGCTCTCAGATAGGGTTCAAGCAGTCCTTTGTGGGTAAAGCACCGAGTAAAACAGCCAAACAGATCATCAAACATCTGCCATGCCATCTTCCTACCTGCTCAGTGTGCTCAGCAAAGAGGAGACAGCGAGGAAACCAGGAGGGTCCTCATTTCCAGCCACACTTCTCCCTGTCCAAAGAGCCCAGGCAAGCACCATCTCCATCCCAGAGMTGAGCATCTGAGCACTCTGTTCCCCTCACACCAGCAGGTGAGGCTCCCCTTTCAGCCTCCTCAACCAGGCAGCCCCCACCAGCCTCTGATGACGGTCTGAAATTCAGAAAAGGGCACACTGCTCTTTCTCATCCTCTCTGAGCTGCCTTTGCAAGGTCTGACTGCTCCACCGAACACAAGCAGGAATAAAGGGAGAAATTTTGGGAAGATCCCCTGTTACCTCTGAATGGCCTCAACACCACCCAAACCTTCAGGTTGCCCTTGGTCTTTGAAATTTTCTGTTGGCCCTGGCATTCTAAATCAGTGTCTTTCTTAACCAAAATTTTTTTATTAAATTGCCATCAGATCAAAGAAAGAACTCATTAAGAAAACATTCTTTATTTTCACTTAATTTGTCTTCTATATTGATATTGCTTATTTTAGTAACTTTATGCAGCAGTAGTCAGGAAAAACAGAGGTACAAGGCTTGTACAGACCACCAATGTGGTACATAGCTCAGTCAGAACTTTCGTGCCTTTTCTGCTCCTCCTCAAGCTCTGGGCCTTGTAAAACTTCTGCGATCGTCAGCATTCTCCTTGGAAATCAAACAAGCAATCCAAACAAACCCTTCCCAGGGCTCAGCCCTGACCTGGGCTCCTGCCCAGCAGCAGGTCACCCATSCAGGACAAGGCAGGGGACAGCAGTGATCACAGCAAGGTCCCTTCCCAACCCACTCTCCAATTCCATTTTTCCCTTTGCTGTTGCTACAACCCTTACATATAAACATTTCACTGAAGTCTTCAACTCGTATTACAATCAAACTTAAAAGCAAAGGGGCCTAAATGCATTTGKTTGGGAACCAAGATGATTCCCATAAAAGCAGATTATGCTGACATGATGAATACAAAACGAAACAGCAGATATTAAAGTTGGAGGATTGTTACTCCGTGCCTTCGGGCTCCTGGCCACCCTCCCCACYTCTCCCTCCTTTCTCCCCTCCCCTTCATTCTCACTGAAGGCAGGGACACCCTTTTCACCTCTGCCTTCCCCAAGGCAGCCTGCCAGGCTTGAAATATTCCCCAGCTCTCCCCAGCCCCCCACCCCAACCTTATGCAATGCCTCAACATCCATCACTTACTGGGGAGGTTGCAGCCCTGCCTGATCTGTCATGGCGTTTTACAAAGCCTGTGTTGTGTTTAATTGGCTTGTTCTTGCTAATCTACCACGATTATTGTGTTTTTATTTCATTCTTGAAGGTCATTATTGAAATAAGCCGTTTTGCTCCGAGCACTTCATCCCCTCAAGGTTCTCCACCCCCGGATAACCAAACCCTCCCTGTGCTTYCTCCCCATTCCCCAGCGCTGCTCAGCCCTGCTGGGCACCTTTCCTGTGAGTACCAAATCCTTGGGGTGATGGGTGAGGAACCAGTGAGTAATTCCCAGTGCACAAATCCAGCTTTTCCAGCCCTTTTCCTCCCCACCTGCTCCATCCCAGCAGGACCCGCACACCGT